TGTGTGTGTGTGTGTGTGTGTGTGTGTGTGTGTGTGTGTGTGTGTGTGTGAGACAGCTTAATTAACACAGGTTTCCCAGGTTTGACACCCGTTTGTCACCCAAATCCTCTTTTGAACGAGGAGCAGACTGAGGTGTTCACACGTTTCTGATTTCTTTTACTCCTGCTTTTGTTTTGTGTCTGTGTTTTTAATGAAGGCTTTTTAAAAAAAAAAACATTCTCACAGCAGGTGGCAAGAAAGAGAAACCTCAGCCCACTAAACGAGAAAGATCTCGCTGGAAACCCGCCTGAAAGGACTGGAGCGAGACTACTGTTCTCCTTTTTAAAGAACAATGGCATGGAATGTGAACGCAAAAGAACCGTGAAAGAAAAGGCAAATTTCCTTTTCATCCTCGACGCGTGCACGAATGCCCTAAGACCGATTTGCCTTTTCAAGCCACTCGGCCAGAGGCTGTCGGCTTCTGACAGCCCTCATCTCACGGCGAGCCGCTGTTCTGTAAGGCTCACACCCTGTGCTCGTCTCAGGATCCTTTCGAAAACTTTTCAAAACGTTTTTTTTTTTAAGCGCATTACGAAGTACAGAAACGCATTACCCATTTCCTTTCTTTTTGTCATTTGGAAAAACAAATAGTTCTGCTGATTTAGAGAATATTCCCATCTGTTTGGAAATCTAATACCTCCCCCCCCCCCCATTTTACGACTAATGTTAGAGGCATTTTCAAAATCTTTTACCCAGAAAAAAGATCCGTAAATGTGTTAAGTGTGCCTGTGGGTATTTCTGTGCCCTGTTCCACTCTACAGCAGACGCGAGACTGCACTCTTATATAAGAATAAAGATGTGCCCCATACCGGTTGCATGTATATCAACTAATAAACTTCAAATCGCCTTCAAATCAAACATTCCCACATCCTGTTTCTCACCGAGGAATTCCATCTGGGAGTGCGTCTGCCACCCAGTATCAGTGCAGTCTCCCTTGGCCATCACTAACCCAGTGCGCCAACAGGCTGGTGCAGCACTTTCCACCCTCTGCCTGCTCTCTAGCTGAGCCCCTTTCTTGAACTAGTCCTTGTGTGTCTGCGGAGCTGCACAGCTGCCTGCAACAAGGTCCTGAGGATGCCTGACCAAGCAGGACACGACCAACATACCGACAGCCGTCTGTGGCCTGTTCCCACACGACCCGAAGACAAGAACACAGTCCGCAGAAGCGCCAAGAACTGGCGCCGACGGGCTCTGACCCGGCTGGGATAAGGGGTGGCTGTAATACCCGAGAGCCATCCTTCTGAAGTACAGATCGTAACCGTGCAAGACTGATCAGCTTTGGCGGTGGAGGAGGAGAGGGGCAGAGAGAGAGGTTAGGGTTCAAATGAAGGCTTGGGCTGGACTGGGGCTGGCAGGAATCTCTCCCAGAGGTCCTCGCCTCCATTTGGGAGGGGGAAGAAGGAGAAGATAGAATCTGCTTTTTTTTTCTCCCCTCTACAGCCTCGGGCTCGGTGCCGGTTAGCAGGGCCCATGCTTTTGCATCACAGAAATAAGGCAAATTCTGGACTAGACTGGACTCAACACCACACAGCTGAGCCAGGAACTGAGAAAAAAGGAGTTTTATATGTTCATACCCCTTCCTTTAGTCTGAGCAGCACTCTTCTCTGCAACAGCTTTCTTAATTTCCCAGTGGCTTCTGTGTACTTTCTCACAGCCTGGCATCGCTGAGCTTTACCTATAAGATGCTGTGCTATACAGGACTGGGCTCCAACTTGGCTTCCTACAGCAACAGCACGGGTCTGAAATAATGTCAATCGAGAACTTCTGCTTCTCTGCTCTCTTTTTCGTTTGCTGTGTCCTAAGCTGTAGGTCCTGAAATGTGAATTTTCAACTCGAGCTGTTCAGTGTATGTAGCGGTCAAGGGTTTGGAAAAAGTACCTGTATCTAGCAAAAGAACTGAAAACTACTAAAAAAAATGTGACTTGTAAACCCTTTTTTCTGGTTAAAACAAAAAAATGTGTCACGTGTTTTAATTCCACGTTTTAATTCCGCCTAGCGTGGTAAGGCTTATTAGATGGGTTGTTATTTGAAGAAACTGTTCATCTTCAAGGCCTGAACTCTCTTACTGAAACCCATACAGGTCTGCAGTGTCAGCTGCTGCTGTAATTGAAAGGGGGCTGAACTAAAAATCATTGTTTAAAGGAAGCTGAAATCTAGGGCACTTATCTTGATTAGTTTTTCACAATGTCCTAGCATAAACAATTAACAAACAACCAATTGACAAATTACAGTTTTCAAGTTGTGGAAAACTAGCATGGCCCACATTATTATCCAGACTAATATGATCGCATACTCCTCAAGGTTTAGCGTTGTAAAGCATTCAAGTACAACCCATACAAGTACAACACAAACACAAACAAGAATCTAACTCTATACAAGAAGTATAATTTCTGTTGAGCCTGATGGTCATGTCGCTAACATTCCAACACCTATTAAACAAGATATATATATAGCAGTTACTCTCTACCCAGAAACAGAAAGGTTTTCTGAACTGCCTAGCCTTTAGAACTCATCGACTTGCATATTCAGCCCGGCCCACGAGTTTGCTTAAGTACCAAACTAAACCACTAGATGGCAGCAAAGAACAAGTCAGTACTACCCACTCGGGGCTTTGTGCACTTTGGGAAATGAACTCCCAGGGCTGTCCAGTCCTGGACTTGGAGGGCTAATGAATTAATTGCTTACATTTATATAGTGCTTTTCTGGACACGCCACTCAAAGCACTTTACAGGTAATGGGGACTCCCCTCCATCACCACCAATGTGCAGCATCAACCTGCAGACTGGCTAGCCTGTCTGCAGATGTTCTAGGTATCTTTAAAGCAGCACTCATAGGTCGTAGTGTTTGCATTGGTCCAATTACACCAGCAATTAAGCAGACTTGATTAAGCAGACTTAAGCAGATTAAGCAGACTCATTCTTGAATTACAAAGAAAACCTGGAACACACACACTGGACTCACCATAATCATGGACCCTGCCCTAGTCTCTACACAGGACAATGTCAATTGAGCAGTTCTTGCTAGAGAAACAAGTTCACCCAGAGGTCCTTAGGTGTGGTTCTGTAGGCAGCTGAGCTGGTTATCTCACAACAGGACAGGGACTGGCCTTGACCAAACCCCAGAACCAAAACCACAGATGGGTGGAGCTGTAGAAATCATTATTATTTATATTCATGTTGCTGGGCCGCACAGTGGCTAGCATTGCTGGGTTCGATTCCTGGAGTGCAATGTGTGTGGGGTTTGTATGTTCTCCCCCCTGTTCACGTGGGTTTCCTCCGGAGGCTCCAGGTTGCTCCCACAGCCCAAACACATCCCGGGAGAGGTTAACTGGCACCTGGAAAATTGGTCATGGTGTGAGCATGTGTGTTTCTTCTGTACGGCCTAGCGTCCTGCCCTGTCCTTGCCAGGACAGACTCCGGCTCTCCTGTGATCGCCCCCCCCGCTGGATAAAGTCGTGAGATGACCGAATGGATTAAAGTTGCTGATTTTCCAATCTTTTAAGTTCCTGTTTCTCAGAGTTCATTCCCGCCCCCCCCCCCTCCAGCCCATCTTAAACTGACCACATTCTGCACAATGGTGTGATGAACAGCCTCTCCAGGCCAAGGGGTTAAATGCAGGCTGGCTGAGAGGGGCTGACTGGTGAAAATATGGCTTCTGGGATACCCTGGGAATTTTTTTTACATTCGGTGCGACCTTAAAAAAAAAACAAGCTGAATGTGCGGCCAAGTGTGATTAAAAACAGGGATATTCTTCCAGCACAGCAATACATCCTGTGACGACAGACGAGCTTCGAACCCACAAAGTGATCCAATTCTTGGACTATTAAGACATGAATCACAGGAGTGTCGAGGGCCGTTCTTCATCTTGTGAAAAACCCTAAATCACAGTGCAATGGAAATGTGGCCAGATTCATTTTCTTGGTGTGGTTTAAACCTAAAATTACAAGAAAAAATGGACAAAAAAAAAAACAAATTGCATTGAGCCAGAGGTCAGCAGTAAGTTCCCTCAGGGCGCAGGCTTATACTATAAGCTCTGATTTGCGAAACCGACTGCACTGTGTCATAAACTGACCAATTTTATCTTAAATTGTGGGTCACATGAAAATTATGGACACAAGCTGAACCCTGAGCTCTGCTTTAAAGTGCTACATCCCATGATTTTGTCTTTTGCTGTATTATGGTTTACGTTTCCGTTACAGTTGAAACATGTGTACATACAGTCCAGTTGTGCTAGAGTCTGGATTTAAAGGCTAGTATCAGGGCTCTATAGACCTGCCCAAAAGACTAATAACTGGCTCACTGCCTTCAGAGGTCAGACAGAGTTTGGCTTACCCAACCAGGACCTCCTCTTCTTCCAGTAGTCCCCCAGACTTTTCAGACAGATTTCTAATCACATCAGCAAGGCACACATCACCCCCATATGTGCACATCACAAGGTGAACAGCTCAGTGGGAGCTGCCTGTTGGCCACCACAGTGACTGACTCAGTGGGCGGAGTCTGTAGGGCACCAAGATGGCCGGCTAAGTGGGCGGAGCCTGCTGGGCACCAAGATGGCCGGCTGAGTGGGCGGAGCCTGCAAGGCACCAAGGTGGCCGGCTGAGTGGGCGGAGCCTGTAGGGCGCCAAGGTGGCCGGCTAAGTGGGCGGAGCCTGTAGCTCATCACTTCCTCATTCTCCCTGCAGGGGGACAGGAGCCACTACTGTGTAGCAAAATGTAAGCCATCGGAGGCTCCAATTTAAGCGAGTGGTAATGGTAATTTTTAGTATAACCAAAACCATTTTTTTTTATTTTAGAATTCTGAATTAACCACCATGTGAAACCAAGCAAAATTCCAGTGATTGTTCATATTTTGAAACAACCTGCAACCCGGATAACTCTTTCCAGGCTCTACCACAACACAGTCTGAACAGACTACTAATAAATCCTTTAAAAACAACCCTTTGCCGTCGTGCTCTATATCCTGCTGTAATGGATGTTACAGAGGCGTGATGGCATTGCACATTACACACTGCACACTTGACAATCCACACACAGAAATCCCTCCTGCTCTTCCGCTGCCTCTACCTTCATTCCGCAAAACAAGCTCCCCTTTGCCGCTGGCCTTCAGAGGAGCGCCCAGCAGCACTGCGCTTCAGTAACTTACCATTAGAGCTACTGAAACCTTTTTGTTTCAATATAATATTGTGCAACGCTGCGTCTATGGGATGTCATCATACACACAGCCCAGCGATCCAACACACACGTTCACTCTTCTACACGAAACACACCCACAAACACAGCAGATCCGTCAGCTCATCATATCGGCCACTTCTATTTGAATCTTGTATTTAATAATACAGACAAATAAATACCACAAACGAACAGGCGGCCGTTCTCATGTCTGCACAGGAGAGGGGGTGAACTAGAACTGGAACATTTTTCCCAGGAGGGGGCGACGAGGGACAGAGGCTGTGGGTGGAGGAGGGAGGAGGGAGGAGGGATGCGACTGGCTTGGGCAGCGCTCGCCGCCGAGGCCGGATCAGAACCCTGACCGGCCCGGCTCGCTGGTTCATTCGGGCAAGGTGAGTCCACACAAAGATGCGCGTCGGCCCCATCGCACCCGAGTCTCTGCGGACCCGCTCCAGCGCCAGAGAGCAGCCACTCCCACGCCACCTCCCAGTCGGCTGCTTTTTGGGGAAGAACGAAAAAGAAGAACTGTACCAGGGTGACCTATCTGCAGTCTCTCCGAATAAAAATAAAAAAATAGCTCGGCGACTTTTGTTTTCCGTTTTTTTTTCAAAGAAAAAAAAAATAAAAAAAAGAGGTTTGGGCGGGCTCCTCGTGGGGCGTGGCAGGTTTTAAGACTTGTCGGTGCTTTTCGAGCTGTTGTCCTTGCTCCTCCTCTTCACATCCCAGTTGTACACGCGCGCCATGTCTGGGGAAGCCGAGGTTAAGGAAACTCCGCGGTCGTCCACTCCGAGGGGCCTGCTGGACGGAAACACCTGGACCCCCCGCAACACCGGAGCTGCACAACCCCTCAGTAGCTCTAGTGCACCCCAGAATTAACACCCAGCCGCTTGGTGGGAGGTTTAACACCCATTCAGACCCTGTGCTCTGCAGCAGATAACACTCAACACGCGGTGCTCATTAAGTGAAACGTACCACCAGAGCTGATGACTAATTTGAAGGTGCCACGTCAGAGAAGCTCTGTGTGAAAACTTCACAAAATCTGGACCCCCTCCTGTTCGGGGTATGCCCTTCCTGGGTTCTCTAATCTTCTTACATACTTCCCCTACCATCTCTACAGTGATGTAGCCCAGATCTTTCTTTCGAGCCAAAAAAAGATCTTCCAAGCAAAAGAATGCCCCCAGCCTAGACTGAAGAAGGAATGGAAACGTATCTGGTGCATTAGTAAAGTAATAGTAGACTGCTTTTATAAAGTCAAATACACATTTGCAGGAGTAAGTATGACTAGTTGGTGGGGGAAGTCGATCTTGCTTTCCTCGCACATACGCTAATGTAAGATGAGGTACCAGACAGCTAGTCTTGTTAGCTAGATCTCTAGGACCACAGGAAAACGTAACATCTCTCAGAGGTGGCCTCGAGGTCACCTTGCACTGGCAGCTTAGCGACCGCCAAGATCTAAAATCGGGTATCGATTTTTTTCCTTTTAAGGGATTTTTGCTTTTCAACGTAAAACGGCTGTGTGATGTCTCCTACCTAGATAAAAAGCATCGAAAACGACGTGCTATTTAGAGAAGCTTTCCGCGTTCCGAGGGATTAAATGGCTTTTGTAAGACGGCGAAATAAACTCTTTTGCTTTTGACTATCTCTTCACCTCGAGTCGCGCGCGGCCTAGTTACTTTCGCTCCTCAGAAGGAGCCTTTCCCTTTACCCCGGCCTTCCCTGGGGAGGTAGAGGAGGCACGGGCGCTGCTCTCCAGAGGACAAGGATACTGACTTCGGTGGTGGTGAACTGGTCCCGCAGGAAGTCCAGGTCCTCCTCCAGTGACTCCAGGTTGCGTGTGGCCGTGGCCAAGTTCTTCTCCAGCAGGGCCTGGGCTTCATCGATGTCATACTCCAACATCACATTGGCCTGGGGGAGACACTGCCGGTGACTTATGGCCCTTCCCCCCCCCCGCCGCAAAATGCTCTTTTTGAGACAGAATGTCAAACCGTGGCCGCGCATCTGAGGCTGATCCAACAGTAAAAGGTTCTAAGGGACACGCAAATGCTGAAACATGGGAAAGGAGTACAGCATTTCGGATGATGTCAGGTGTGATAGAGAGGAAGGAGGCAGGACTGTAAAGAACAGGAGAATAAAGGAGAGTCCTTCAAGCTGATTAACATACGTTTCTGTTAGTTTAGCTCCTCCCGGTCACCCCAGAGGAGACGCAGACCTCCCCCCGGTCGCCCCAGAGGAGACGCAGAGCTACCCCCGGTCGCCCCAAAAGGGGACGCAGTGCTCCCCCTGGTGGCCCCAAAAGGGGACGCAGAGCTCCCCCTGGTCAACCTAAAGTTAACACTACAATATCTCTGCTCGTTACAATAACTGTCAACTTAACGCAATTTACTAATGAGACGTAGTAGTATGGATTAAATACTTACACCAAGCCACAAACAGACTTTATCTGTGGGGGGTACCAAGGCCTTGCAATACAGGTTATCAGCCAGCAGGAAGTGGGTTTCCAAAGGATCTGTGGTGTCCTAAGGCAGGTGGAAATAAAATCACAGTAAGCAGCTGTAAAACACACAAGAGGGGTGGAAAAGAAATTAGACCCGGTGGGCAGTGACCCCATGCGGCCGAGATGTACCTTTTTCTTCTGCATGTGTTTTAAAATTTCGAGTGTTTGCTTAATTTGGGGGATCTGGCTTTTCAATCTGAAAAGAGACAAAAACAGGAAAGCTGGGAGGTTAATGGGCAAGGCCGTCTTCCATCACACCGGGACATCTGGAGGACGAGCCTCCGGACGCAGGACCGGGAGCCGTTTGACGGCGTTCCTTTACAAAGCCCTGAAAAAATGGCTCTCTCTTCATGCGCCACTACATTCCGCGAGCTCTGTTCACGGCAGCAAACGCTTTCTACTCCCAGAAAACTCCCCGTTTCTCAAAACAGGCAGTTTTTAAATCCCACTTAATGGTGAACAGCTTCAGGCTTCTCCTAATCACTTAACCTCAAGACTGACTGGAGCAACACAACCCTCTCCTGCGAGTATTCAGACCTACGGTTTAGCAAGACCTATAACCCCCCTCACCCCCACGGGCGACGGGCGGCAGAGACGCCCTCGGGCTCACCTCAGCTTCTTCTGCGCCAGGTTGAGCTCCATGAACTTGTACTTCTGATACTGCTCATCCAGCTTCCTCAGCACAGCGTCAGCCGTCTCATTGCCAGGCTGCTTCATGAAGGCGTCCACATCCTCCTGCGAGAGAGAGGATCTGTGAAATCACCCCTCCTGATAGTTCATCGGGCAACTTTACTCGGCCGACTCTTTTATCCAAAGCATCATGTTTCTACCCTTTATTTACCACTGGGTATTTCACTGGGGCAGTCTGAGTGATGTACTTTGCTCAGGTGTACAGCAGCCAGTGCCCCTCCCATATATATGCCATATATGGACATCAGGGCGGTTACTCCTCCCACTTCCTGTCACCATGGTAACCCGTTGGCACACTAACCCTCATGTTTAAAACCACAAAGGCAAAATCTCTTCCATACTGGGTAACAGGAACTGAACTGTTTAGTTATCGGCTTTGTGAAATTGCTCGGGAATGCATTGATAAAGCTGGGCTTTCTGCTACATCGAGACTCCGGCAGCTATTTAATCCCGAGTGTAGGCCCCTGTCATGGCAGATGTGCCCTACTCTAGTAGAACAAGACTCCACTTGAACAAGACTCTTGTTCAAAGAGGCACTAGTGAACAAGAGCCCTCTGCCCAGGCGCAGTTCTAGTACAATACTGCAGGCTCCTTCCTGATTTGCTCTTGAATCCTGAACTGAATTCAGAACTAAGAGAACAAGAGGCAGATGGAGCTGGGGCCAGGAAGGCAGCTGATCAGAAAGGTCAGGGATTTAATTAATTGTGCCGACATCGCCCCCAAGAACCACATTCAGGAAGACTCGGGTTCCAACCCTGGGCTCAGAAGCTTAACTGTTTTGAAGATGATACTAGCTCTGGGTCTGCGTCAGTCCCATTAATCAGCCCGGAAGACGTCTTTATTCGTCGTGTCTCCCAATATAAAAGCAGTCGGAGGCTTATCACGGCTCTGTAGAGTCTCCACTCAGGAGACAGTTGTTCTTGTGCCTGAACATGTTAAAAAAAAACGGTTTCACTAAGAAAATAATCTATGTAATGTTGGGCCAAAACACTTTTTTTTCCCATAATTTGCCCTGTAAAAAAATCCAGATGACATTTACACAGAAACAACTCAGCAACGGTTCGAAAATTACACCAGTACGGGCAATAGCACAGAAACATAACGATAAAGACAAAGGGGTATGGAAGATGCCATCACCACTTTTGGTAATGAACTATTGCAACATATGATTTGCTCTGATTTCTTAACCGGACCTCAAACGGACATTTCGTTTACGGTTCTCGGTCACGCCATCTAACGACGATGGAGCTAGTGAGGTTCTCGCTGTGGAGCAGACACGGGTCCACCTCCTTCTCCGCAAACGACAAGCGCGTCTCCACGACCCGAGGTCCTAACCCAGCACGCAGTGACTCATCTGCACCGCGCTGGAGCCCGCGGCCGGAAGGGCTCCTGAACTGAAATATTGACGCTGTCAAACTCGCACCCCAGCCGAACTGCTAAAAAATATTTTTTTTTTCAATTAAATAATACAAAATACGCCGATCCAGCCCTCCTGACTATCTTATAATGTTGGTCGGAACTTGAACGTCCGAAGATTGTAGTTGAGACAAGACATTCAATCGACTTGCTTCCACGGTACAGCGGTAACCATTGGATACCATAAAATCTATGCTCTGGGTGTGGAGGTATGCTTAAAAATGCATTTGAGCTCTAAGGGTGCGGGCTGCTCAATGCCCCATTGTCGTCCGCCCGCAAGCGAGACCACCCTTTTCCTTGTAGTCTCAGATCCCGGTGCTTAGCTTTCATAGTCGAAGTGTCTCCAACTGCCTTTTAAGGATGTGGATGGCTAGCTACTGTGATATCGGATTCTCCTTTCTGCATGGAGTTCTCCCAGCCCTTCATCGTCAATAATTCTCCACATGTAAAAAGGCACAACAGACGTTGCCTTTGGCCTCTTACCACAAATACAGCCTCCGGGATGCCTAAGTGTTTTCGCTTGCCTGCTGCCACAGCATTGCTGCTCTCCGTGGTCGCCGCCATCTTGGACAGATTTCCCCCTCACGCCATGCAGCGGCGCTGACGTTGTGCGTAGCGAACGTGGACCCCACCCATCACCTTTCCCCGCCTCCTCAGCCGCAACTGCAGCTCTGATTGGACGCCGGGGAGAACGGCTCGAGCGGGTAGGACCTATCGTAGAGAAACGCAGCCGGATATGGGCGAGTCCCCCGCAAGGCTTTCTGGAGAGTGTAGTTTAATCTTTCGTTTCTTTGTCCAAGGTGGGGGAACAAGTTAGGGCGGGGGGGATCCTGGTGTTGTAAATTTCAGGCTACTCCTGAAATAATGCTAATTTATTTTCGGGAGGAAATCGTTTAAAACACCGTCATCGTGAAATCTGACACTAAAAGCAAGGCTTTGAATTTAAACAGCTGAGCAGTTATCACAATCAAAATATGCAATGTAGCCTTTATGACAAGTAGTTAATCCCGTGGATCCATTCATTTTCTAACTGCTTTAGGGGTGTCATGCCTATCCCAGCAAGCAACAGGCACAAGGCAGGATACACCCTGGACTGGGCACCAGTCCATCATAGGGCAGACACACAGACACACACACCAGGGTCAGTTTTCCCAGAACAGAACAGAAAGTTAACCAACCAGCATGTCTTTCGATTGTGGAAGGAAACCAGAGAACCCAGAGCGCACCCATGTAATCATGGGGAGAACATACAAACTCCACACAGACAGCACCCTAGGATTTGAACCCAGGGCCCCTGCACTGCCAGGCTGCAATTCTGCCCCATCCAGCAGATGAATATTTATTTTTCCAAGTAGAGAAAAACTGTTTTAAATAAAAGATGATTAATCTGCCGCCGATTTTGATCGTGCGGCTTAGTTCAAAAACAGATGTTCCCTGGATCCTGGGTTGAGTTTCAGACGAGGGCACCTTCTGCGTGGAGTGTGCATGTCTTCGCATGTTCCCACGGGTTTCCTCTCGCTCCGCAAAGACATACGTGAGCTACGTTCATCATATTTGTTGTCCCCGCTGTGTGTGCGCGCACTGCAGTGGATTAGCGCCCCGTCCGGGGTGCGGGTGCCGCCAATGCGCCCTGTTTTCCCAGAATGGGCTCCCAGTTGGCGTGACCCTCGCCGGGAACAAGCAGCTTCCTGACAACGGGTGGCTGGAAACTCAGTGGCCAAGAAAATCTTGAGAGTGAAACAGCATATTATAAACATGCAATATATAAACAGAATATCGGGCGGAGCGGTGGCTCTGTGGCTCAGGATCTGCGCCTGTGACTGGAAAGTTGCTGGTTCAAATCCTGCAGCTGGCAGAGGAATCCTACTCCGTTGGGCCCCTGAGCAAGGCCCTTAACCCCAACTGCTCCAGGGGTGCTGTACAATGGCTGACCATGTGCTTTGACCCCCTGCTTCTCTCCCTGTCTGTGTCTCATGGAGAGCAAGCTAGGGTATGTGAAAAGATGAACTCCTAATGCAAGAAATTGTATATGGCCAATAAAGTGATCTTATCTGATATTAATAATAATCCTCATCATTAGTGTAATCCTTACAGTTCTATAGTGCTTTTTTGCAAAGTACGTTACAGGTAACGGGGAATCCCACTAACACCAGCAGTGAACAGAATCACCTGGACGATGTGACAGCAGCCATCATGATCATTTCTCAGTGGGGAGGAGAGCAGAGTGATGAAGCCAGTTCATGGGGATTATTAGGAGGCCGTGAGTGGTTAAGACCAGGGGAATGGCTGTTTGTCCTATAGGATCATGCTAGTTATCCCTGGGATCTAACTTCCTAATGTTATTTGTTTTCCCAATTCGTTTATGCATTTATATTCAAACTTTTCTTCTTGCATTATCTTAATTTATGAATTGATCTATAAGTAAGCTCATGGATATCAACCCCAGAAACTCAAGTCTTCTGCCACTTTGAGCACAGACAGCTGGCTCAAACGTAGCCGTCTCCTGAAGTGCTGTTCATCTTTTCTTTCCTTCTGTAGTTTTTTACAGCAAAAAAAAACAACAACCTAGCTACAGGCTCAACAGGCAGCATTGAAACAAAGTTGTTGTAAAGCTGCACGTTTCCTCTCAGGGAAAAGTGGGTTTATCCTGATGGGGTTCCCGATCTCGGCTACTTTTCAACGACATGAAGAAAAACCAAAACAAGACAAGACAGACAACACCCACACGGGGAGAAACAGTTAATCAAATATCCAGTTTATTCAAATATATAGAAGGCTTTCTCAAATAAAACTTAATGAAACGAAATGAAACGCAACTGGAATCCTGCTAACGGCAGTGCCCCGGCCGGGCCCTGGCAGAGGAACGCCGAGCCGTTGCGTGGCTGTCAGGGCTACACGCGCGGACAAGGAAGTGCTGTGTTACTGGGGGGGATGGCCGGGAGCAGGCTGGTCAGCATCAGCCTGTGCTCTGCAGAGAGCGGTGCTGTCAGGCACAGAGGCTGTGAGATTGTCCCACCAGTTAAACTCTCATTAAAGGCCCTTCAGCGCATTTCCCCTTATATTTACAGGGAGATCTGCTCCTCCCCCCCAAAAAAGCACACTGAGACGTTAGTTCCTTAAATCTTCCAACTTAGTGATTTCCTCAACCTGACCGGTTACCCTTATGAAACGGAGCGCCCTCCTCATGGTAAAACAAAATCACAGCTTCTTCTCTTATGAGAGTGCTCATGGGTGTGCAGGTCGTTTGAAAGAGACCTGACGGTAATCACAGGCTGGAGAGGAAGTATCTCAGTGGATCTGATTTAAAGGGTGCTCATGCGGTCCACGGCACAGGGATGCTGGAACTTTCAGCTGGAAGCTGGGAAGGTGGAGCTACGACTGCCCCCCCGGTCCTGTGGGAACGGAGCCTGGCCCGTCCTGTGCTAATGGGTCCGTCACAGCCCGGGGGGCAGGGGGCAGGGGAATTCGCTGTTCGCGGGGGGAGGGGGAGATATCAGGAGAGGGACCGGTTTCGGGTCCTCTCAGACCGCGACAACAGACACAGTAAAATACACAAGGCAGGTAGGGCAAGCAAAAGTGCATCAACGAAGTATCGATTAAATTATCACAGCGCTCCTACGGTTTGCCGTAGGTCACGCACAAAGAGGTCCAGAGTGGTCTGTTAGCTTCCTTTCACGAAGACTCTTCTCTGCTGAGACAATCGCTATCAGTGAGTGCGGGCAAAGCAAGCCAAGAACCAGGAAGGGCGCCCAAGACAGACATTTCCCACTAAGAACAGACAAGATTCTTCTTTAGCCTTTGCATGCACGGGCTGCCCCCGCATAAAGGCTGTTTCTTTAGGAATTTACTACCTTGTTTTAATCACAAAGCATGAAACCGTTTAAAGAAGTTGAATGATATGGGACTAGGGCACCGGGACCCCCAGGCTACGGTCCCCAGCCCAGTCTCCTGCGCTCAGTCCTGAAGGCAGTCCAAGTGGTTCCCCTTCACCCAGTAACAGATCTGTGCAAACTTGAGAGGGGTGAACCGGACGGCGACGTTGAAGTCTCGGTTCTCCCCGTTGATCTCCAGCCACTGGTGTCCCGAGAAGACTCCGATCACCTTCCTCTCCCAGCGCTCCAGCGCGGCGTCCCAGACGCGGCCGTACACCCCCGAGCCGCTGGCGCCGGGCCGCGCGTCGCAGTGCTGGTAGATGAGGTCGTTGGACTCGTCCTCCACGGGGCAGAACCGGTACACCAGCTCTCCGGGCCGGTCGCTGTCGAACCCGGAGAAGTGGATCCGCTTGCCCGCGAGGTCCTGGGCGGAAGGGGCCACGGAGAGACGCATGTAGGGGCGCCGGTGGGGGGCGCGCAGCTCCAGGAGGGCGTAGTCGAAGTCCATGCTGGCCTCCTGGGGTCCCTGGATCCAGCCTTTCGGAACCCGGGTTCGCTTGACCCTCACCCAGCGCACCAGCGGCTTCCTCTCGGGCTGGGACCCGGGCGGGTGGCGCTCGGTTTTGGTGCTGTTCGAAGGGGGCATCAGAAAGCCCACTCTCAGCTTGCGGGCCCCCTTGACGTAATCCTTCCCATCATGCACGCAGTGGGCGGCGGTCAGCACATGGCGCTCCGACACCAGGACCCCGGTGCAGCCCGTGGAGATGCGCACGGCGGTGGAGAAGGGGTAGTCCAGCAGGAAGTTGTTGCCGCGGATATTGAAGCGGCCGTCGGCCCCGTAGATCTGACGCTTGCGCCTCCCGCGCGCAGCGGGGCGCCACCTCCTGGGGGGAGGCTGAATTGCGGGGCCGGGCTCCTCCTCTTCCTTGTCCTCCAGATCCACGGTGGTCAGGGTGCGCGTGCCGTCTGCGTACAACGTCTCGTAGGCCAGTCGCTCAGTCAGAAGCTCCCAGCTGGGTGACGCCTCCCCCTGCTGGTAGCAGGTGGTATTGCAGTGCGTGGTAAAGTCCAGCTGGGGGAGGGCGGAGAAGCTAGGCCGAGAGAGGGGAAGGGTAGCGTGGGGCACCAGGGCAGGGATGTGCCCTGGGTGGTGGGAGGAGGCCCGTAACGCGACGGAAGAGGGGAGGGAGAGCAGGAGGAAGAGGAAGCAGGAGAAAAAGGGAACGGCAGCTCTCGATTGAGGTAACATGTCGCGATGGTGCACCTGAAAAACAAGAAACGTGGGAAGAAAGTTGTTTTTGAACTAGAAAAGTGGCAGGCTTTTTTGAGAAAGGAAACAAAACCGTGAGACATTAAAAGATGTCCTGACCCTCGTGTGCGTCTTTTACCGTGTCCGATCCCCAAACGGTAGAAATCTTCTTCTATTCTAGTGTCAGGATTTGCGAGTTCAAAACCAAGCTGTGCCACTTGTCACTTGGGCCACTCGCACCTAAGTCTCACCAGGATGACCAGTGACCATGTGGCATCTTGACTTGATGGGACAATAATCCATGTGATGAGCCCAAAAGACTCACTTCCTCCTGAGGCTCTGTACGTCTGCGTTACTGTTACTTTCATCTTAGTTTACAAAAAAAGGTAACTCGAGTCTACAGGTTAAAAAAAAGGTCCTGGTTCTGTTATAGCAGACAAAGTAGAACAAAAAACGAGAACTCAAAGAAGTCAACAAAGATTAGAAGCTGTGTTTTACAGGTTTATTTAATGTATTTTTTTAACTCTCTCAACCACAAGGGGGCAGGCTCCCTATACTGTTCGTTTTCCCCCAAATAAAAACAACCACCGGAACCCATTTAAACTAGAGTTACAACTTAGATCACCAAGACTACAGAAGCGTGCTTGATTAATGGAGGGTTTTTAAAGCATGGAGACAAAAAAACAATATTAAATAAATGATCTTTTCAAGGCAGGGAAGAGATGACCAGGCAGGCAGCACAAACTTTCAGCACCGGCATTTTTCCAACAGATTACTTTGGTGGAGAAGAGTCTGGTTGTACTTAAAATCTATTTTTTTTCCCCTTTTCCCATTATCTGAGAGAGGGAGGGCAAGGTCACGGAGGAGACTGAACCTCTCAGAACCCCCTGTAATCGGAAACGACAGATTTTTCTCCTGTTGTTTTTTTAAAAATAAACCACGGGCAGCTCTTGTTCACCTATCCCTTCCCGCCAGGTCCCGCTGGTGCAGTCCGGTCTCACCTTCTGAGCGCGCAAGAGCGCAGACGCTTGCCCGGCAAAAACCATAAAAAACAACGCGCCACAGAAGAGACAGGTCTTCTTTGAAAGCAGGAGGGAGAAAGTGACTCTGGGACAGGGCCGCCAGGGGCACAGGCCGGGCTCAGGCAGGTAAGCCAGCAGAGAAAGGGTGTCACCATGGCGACAGGAGGTGATGGGGGGGGGGGTGGAGGGGGAGAGTTCAGGTTTAATCTGGCAGCTCTGTGTCCCCACCCAGCTCTCTGTACAGGCAGCCCCTGGGTGAGGAGCAGGCCAGCCTCATTAGAGCATTAGAGCATGAGCTGTTCGGTGTGTGTGTGTGCGCGCAGAGGGGCGGGCGGGCGGAGAAATATGATAAGCTTTAAGAATAAGAGCCCTTAGGCTCTACTGGTGAACGAGAGAGCAGGTGTCTGTTCAGCCAGAGTACAAGCTGGGGCGAGGACAGGCTGTACGAGCCGCTGGGCAGGAGAGCCCCCCTCCCAGCCTGGCCAGGAATCTCACAATCTCTGGGGGGGCTCGTCAGGAGGGGGCGTACGGGGGGGCGCCGTGACTGAAACAAGCCTTTCCTTTTTTCGCCCGCTCTGCTGCAAGGAGCCAGGGGGGGCTGTAGCTGTTTTGTTTTGACCATCTTACTTTGTTTCGTACGGGGGTTGGGGGGGGAAAGGGGCGAATGCCAGAACGTGCTCTCCGATCTGCGCTCAGAATTGAATCCTACGCCGTCACTCCGAAAGCTGTGCAGGTCCAACAAGGGCGACAGGAGACTGCAGACAGTCGAGGTGCTTTCCCCACACAGGGACCCCACAGGTGACGCTCACAGCTGCCTCGCAGGGTCCCGCGGATTCCTCTGGGCCTTCCTTCCTGCGGGGTACGGACCGCCCGGGAGCTGGCCCTCTCCGGCTCAGGAATTCTTTGATCTGGGATTCATGCCGGCGCTGGGTTTACAGTCAACAGCTCCACCCCAGCCCGAGCTTCCCCTCTGCCTCGCTACCCCAGTCTCATCCCGGGCGGCACCTCAGCCCCCGCAGGGCAGGACTGGTCTGTGCTGGTTTCCCAAGGCACCAGCTCTTCGGCATAAACCAACGCCATCCAGCCACCCATTTCACCCAGTACAGGGTGGCAGGGAGCCAGAGCCTGTCCCAGCAAGCACTGGGAGCAAGACAGAGTGCACCCTGGACATGGCAGGACGTCACAGGGGAATAAGACATCAAAAAGTGCGGAATATTTCACAATCGCTTCCTTGTTTTGGGCAACGTCCTCTTGGAATGTAGAGTTTTTATACACTGCATTACGAATACACAAGCATCTCTTCTGCTTGAGCAGTTAAATATACATCAGGTAGGGAGCTGCGTCAGCATGCATAGGCTGCAAAGGAACAAGCTGAAGTTCGTTCACACACCTGAAGAAGGCTCCACAGCCGAATCGTTGTGTTAATTTTCTTCTCTTTTCAGAATGGAATAAACCTTTACTTTTTCTGTTATATACATATTTTTTTTCCGTACAAGAGCCTGAAAGCTTGGTAAAAACTGAAATGGATCACAGGACTGTGCAACCGGAGTCTTATTCCTGGGGAAAAGAGTCTCTCGCTCTCGTCCTGGTCCACAGGCTGGGCTCCACCTTTAGTGCCACTCTGCTGCTGTCTCAGCACCCAGAGGTGGGGAGAGGAGCATCCACTGAGCTGTCCTCTAGACTCGCATGGCTCCGGGACAGCTGGCCAGCCCCGTTGACCTCTCCCCTCTCCAGCTGAGCTCCACATCAGCCTGCCCTTCCTCACCCCCCTGACCTGAACCCTCTCGAACCCCTCCCACACCTCGAGCAGGGGGTCAGGTGGATATTGCTTTGCGCAGCCCAGCCCTGTGCTGGGTCACGGGTCGGGATCCTGGGCTCGGACCAGGGAGGTCCACAGAGGCCCACACCTGTGGGACCAGCAATCCCGCCCGACCCACGGGCACCAGAGAACAAACCGGGTGACCCGCGGATCGGCACCGCTGGTGCTGTTCCAGCTGTCTTTACAGCCGCCCCCCTCCCCGGCTGTCGCCATGAAGCAGGGACGTGTGAAAACACGAATCCCCCCCCCCAACGGCAGCGCCTGTGTTTACAGCGGCGCATCCGTACCGTGGCGGGTCTCGCGAAAAGCTTGCCATCGTAGACACAGCTTCACAAACCCACGTTTACAGAAGTCCACAAAACACCTCAAGTACGCCATAGCCCGTCAGTTAACTGCACGGTAGAGGAAATAAAAGTCTTATAGCAATATTTTTAACGCTTCTGCCACTCTCTCTGGTGAATGCACGGTAGTTCCCACTACATTCCAGCTGTGTTTGAAAATATAATCTCAGACGTGAGTTCAGAGAGGGACAGTTGTGCGGTTGTTTGGCATATTTGAGTTAATGACTCCTAAAAAAAATTGTGTAATGGATGGTTTGAAAATTGTGTTTAAAGGCTTACGCCTCTGTTCAATAAACATGCGAATCTTTTACCTGCTGGATCTCACAGTCCGCGAAAGTTAAGCCCAGATCTCGTTTTCCCCTCCGCCGAATGAACCGAGCTTGTCCCTCCAGATAACTCGCATTTCTGTGCGTGACAGGTACCCGCCGGGTCCCTGGGAACTGATGGCGTGCGGGGCTACGCGTGGCCGAGCTGCAGGGAGCTGTATCGCTGTCGGCGGCGGGGGGTCTGTCTCAGCCGCGTCTCCGCGCCTCCGTCTCGCTGCGCTACGTGTGCGGCTCCCCTCTGCTCGCTCGCGGGGCGAGAGCGCGTTCTGCCGACCCGAGACACCGACAGGACTCTCCGGAGGCGAACGCGGTGCGCGCTGTGAGCCTTGCGCGTGGTCCTAGTGCCCGCCCGCCACTGGTGCCCACTGCACAGCACAGCACGGCTAACACGACACATTGGCGCTAAGAGGCGATCTACGCTGGCTTCTATGCAGAGCAAGCATGGGAAAACACACGCAGGCGAGGCAGGTCTAAGGTTTTGCAGGGCACAGATACGTTTGGAGGCTTACAAAGCTACAATATCAGCTGAACAAGATATGACACACCATGAGACTTGTAAATAAAATCCGGATATATATATATACACATGTGTGTGTTTATGCCAGTGTAGTCTCTTAAGTAGATTCGCAACATTACACTGTCACATTTGTTCTCGCTGAATAAAGCTGTTTTGTTTGCAAGCTCTGCTAGGGCAGACAACTGCAAATCTTCAAGAGTTCAGGGTTGCAGAGGCGGGAGGAGTACGTGGAGCTAATGGCGCTGAAATCTTGAACAACTTCGACTTTGCCGAGGAACTCGCTCTTTAACGTCAAAACTCGACTGCCCGAGCTGGATTTGTTCTTCTTAGGCCTAGGGAGGTTCCTCAACAAAATCTGTCCGCTTCATCTGATCGGCATTTCTTGGAGAGTTAGGCGTTCCAATGTTATGCTGTTACATTGATTTTACTTTCTTAGTTCAAGGTGGATTATTGATTAATTATTAATTTAATGCTTCAGGATACAGCAGGGAAAGCCCCTCTTGTGTATCCTAGTTCTGTACCTAATGTTATGGAAGTTTGTATATATTTATCCCAAGTTGTTTTTTTCCCCTGGAAGAGCAGCAGTCACCTGCAGGTGAGGGTCACTGTTGGGCCCCCACCTCTACTTTCCTGGGATATCTGGGTGTACAACAACAAAGCCCAACCCCCCCGGGGTCACCCCAGCCCCTGACCTTGACCGTCCTGGGCCTGACGTGCCCCCTTACGGAGATGTGCAATTTTGGACCCCCTGCTCACCCGTTCATTCCCAGAGCTGCTGTGAAGCTGCGGGGCCAGCAGGGGGCAGTCTGAGCGGGGCCGACAGAGGGCGGGTTCATTCTCCCTCTCGGCCTCCATAACGCCTCCCTTGGGGTGACATGGCTGCTGGTACGATCATCTCAATCCATTTAAAAACAGATCTCCGGCTGCCGCGTCTGATCGGCTCTCGTCCTTTCCCGCCTTGCTCCTGAGCAGGACCAGGGGAGGCCACAGGGAGCTTCGTTGCTCCTTTAAGACGAGGGGACCAGTGCCCAGGTGCCCAGGCTGAGCAGAGGCCCAGAGCTGCACTGCCAATCTTTGCCACCCATTTGCAGTCCAGTGGAGGGGGCTGGAGGGGCGGCTCTGAGAGAACGTTCTGACGTTCTGACATAGTGGCCCCCTGACTTGAGAAAAAAGCTCCCCTGTTTCCCAGACAGAGAGAAATTGCCCTGTGCTCAACCAGCACAGACAATACCAGCCCTCTGCAGGTGGGACTGCATCTGCGGGCCCTTGGCAGCGCCAAGCTACCGGCCCCTGCTGTGTTTGTGCTGCCTTTTTTTTGTGCCGGGTGTTGTGCCATGTTTACATTAAGGCTGCCCTCCTGAAAGCGACAGGTCTCTGACCCAGAAGCTCACCATGTGTCTCACTGGGGG